GGCTTCGTGGTATTTTGGGGTAAGATGAAATCCAGTATTTTCAATAAAACAGAACCCTTGCTCTTTTTAATTCAGATTCCAATTTAAAAGGGTTTAAATACAAACCAAGGTATTTAAAAGTCACCACTGGAGACATGGAGGGCAGAACAGGAGTTCTTTTCTCATTCTTACTGAACAGCTTCATCCTGAATAATTAACGTCAATTAGCATCAGTGGAAACTGACTTAATTAGAGGCAGTATTAATATGTAAGTAACATTCAGAGACGACGATCTCCCCATTCCTGTAAGTGGCGGATGGGAGTGAGACACACCCACTTTGAATAAACAATCCCTTCCAATGGCTCTGAAGCCTAATGCCACACAAGTATTTTCAGATACTTCTGCTGAAGTGCAGCAAAAAGTAATACATACAGACACACAATAATAACGAAACTGGCAAAATTCAATATATGAAAGAAAATATATATATATGCAGCTTGCAGCAGCAATTATTTATCTATGAATCTGAGACAGTATTTCCCGTTAACACAATATTATTTGTAATTTCTAACTGTAACAATCTTAGTACAAAGAGACAAAATCTAAAAGCATGGGGTTTTTTTCCCCCGAGTAATTTAATGCGGTTTACCCCTTAGAGAAGTTTGTAACATTGGCCAGCGATCACAGGGGGTTTATTCAACATGAGGCAAGCAGAACACTACCTGTTGGCCAGTGCAAGGGCGTACAACAATCCATCCTCCCGCTTCCCGTCCTCTGCACGACACCCGTGATACACACCGCGTCAACCCCGACGGCATCTCGTTATTAGAAAACCGTATGGTCCTGAAGAGGATGATCAAGTACACAACAACCTGCACAGATGGACTTTAGGAGCACGGTGTAGTCTACATTTGCAACGCTCCTCCGCTAAGCACGTTAAAGACTACTCCTCGCTGCATTTACCCAGTACCTCTGTCACAACATAAAGGCCTGTGTCACCCCTCCAACTGCCTGAGCTCAGCTGTGTGAAAGATTCCAGTTTTTTTTCTGATCCAAACCAAAATTTGAAAAATATCTCCAGATAGGACTAAAAAATATGGACATAAAATATTTCAGAATTAATTTTATAATATTTAAAGGTTTTCAATACACCTTCACAAATACAATTTTTCCTTACACTTCTTATTTAATACTGGGAGAGTATTTAAAATGCAGTTTCATGCAAAGATTAAACAAAAGGAGTTGAGTAGTTAGATGAAAAACATAATAATAAAGAATAACAGATATTTATTTTTTATTAAGGAAAGGTACAGTTAAGCAAAATGCATTCACAAATTAGATAATTAATACTTTTAAATACCACGAAGAATGACATGTAAACAGAAAAAACATGTTAAAAGCCCAAACGCAGGAAATACTTTGAGTATAAAACACACACTGGCTCAGTATTTTTAAGACCATCATGTATGTTATTGTCCTGTGTTAGCTCACACTAAGATGAACAAACTTCTGTAACCACATGAGATAAACAGAAACAGTAAAATGAAAACAAGAGATTGTCATGTCAAGTACTCCTTTCCTTCTTAGGAGTATTATGTTTGCAAAATAGTATCAAGGCTTAACCAGCCTCGATACAAAACCCATCAAACAGCCAGCAAAACCCAAGTCATTCCAGCCAGTTCGGAAAGCAGAATTTTGCAAAGTTGATTGCTTCACAGGTTCTCAGAAATTTCACAGGTATAATCACTGGTTTGACACAAACAGAGGTAGACTACACGTCAGCCTTCATAATTTCCAAGAAAAAAAAAAAGTCCTTGTAACAAGGTAGTGCTTCAGTTGCTCAAGTGCTGCCTATTCCTTGAAGGTCACACTTCTGGTGGAGAAAGAAAGAAAAAAAAATCAAAATAATGCTATCTATTATATTTTCCTAATGGAAATCAGGATAAAAAGTAACAATTAGATTTATCCTCCTCATATTCTCTTCTGTTATTCCTGAATATCAACTATTAGCAACAATTACCTACAACTCTACATTCAGTTCATTGACTCGTTGCTCCACTGCTTAACAAAGTAAATGTGAGACGAGGAGGAAGAGAAAAAATTCTTCAGAAGATTCAATCAGATTCGAGAATAAAACCAGTTGTAATGCTACAGAACAGTAATCGCAGAGTGCTCTCTACTGTGGTAAGGTCCCAGGAAGGAATAAATAAGGGCAAAAGATGGTGATAGCAATACAGAGATCATTTCAGGTCAATAAACCACTGATAGGTTTAAAAGGCAAGATAGTAAAAAATTAAACTGCATTGGAATTCAGTTGTTAAAAACCACTTACTTAGAAAATCTCATTTTCACAAAGTATGTATTTTTAAAGATACATTATAGAGCTGTCATTGTTAAAACTAAGTACGCAACTGGTAGGATAAAAATAGTTCACTACATGGTAGTCTTCACATATAGCAGCTGGACTATTTTTATTGCTCTTGGGACTCACTGTAAAGCAACAAAAACTAAAGACGACTCTCTACTGATGATGCTAATTCTCAGAAATATGTTATCTAGCATTATCAACCAAAATATTGATTTGCAACACGACAGGGCTTGCCTAATGGCTCGCCAGTAAAGCAAAAGCTGTAACTGTTGTTTCAGCCCTGCTATCAGTATCTCATTTGCTACAGTTCCCTTGGTGGTTATTTTTGGTTGGCTTTGTCCAAAAACTGACCTCAGTTCTCGGGAAATTGGTGTTTTTGTTAACAAAATTAAGCTTAAGAACAAGCCATATGTATTTACTGACAAAACTAGTGTTTACAAGCGTATTGGTTTGGAATTCTGTTTCTTGGAGTTCAGCAGTTGGCTAGTTAGACTCAGGAGCCGTTATTGCCTTAGGGAATATGTGTGCTATCACTGTTTCTCTCTCCATGTCCTTCCACTCTTCACTGCAACTTATTACGCGGTATAGGACAGACAGGATATGAAGTCAACAATCAGGCCTGTAACCAACAGACACCTAAAGCAACAATCATCTCTCAGAGCATAAAAATGTCAGCGAAAATGAGCAGGTGAGAGGTTGATTTTGAGGGACTATAGTGACCACAATCTTGGATTTTGCTAGCATTCAAGCACTAATAACGAAAAACGCATTAATTATTTTTATGCGCTTGTTTTGGAGACAGTTTCATCTAATGTGTAGGGTTCAAATGCATTTTGGCTGGACTCTCTCCTATGGATCACCTCTCCTTTGTTGCTGTACTTGACAGATTTTCATGGCGTTTCTCCTGATCATTTGTTGTTGGGAGATAACTATTAACAATAATAAATTGGCAATTATACATTTGGGTATAATGAATGGCCAGAAGAAGCAGAATGGGAATCCATTACATGATAGTCTTGGGAGAACACTTTGCATTTATCGTTTCCAATCAATATTTTATAGCAGGAGAGTCAACAAAATAAATTAACACCACCTAAAGTGTGTAAGAATTCCATATAGTTAAAAAAAGTACTATTTAGAAATGGTTTAAACCTAACTCTGAGACAGAAACAACCTGCCAAAATCAAATCACTTACTTTTCAGCTGCTGCTTGATCCGTCGTCCTTACGGCAGAACGTTCTGGAGAGTGCGAGGGAGACCTTAACGTGGAACTGAGAGGAGGTGAAGCACATAACGAGGACATAGAGAGCCCATGTCGACGCATTTCCTGAATTGCACGCTCTCTACCAACAGATAGCAATTTCGGTTACCTAACCCTGTGGTACAGCAGGTGGTAAAGGAAGAAAACCTCACTTTTCTTTTCCCCTGTATTTTTGCTTGGTGATTTTCACAATACTTTAAAGACCCTTGTTTTCTTGTAACGTCACCCAACTTTCTTCTTGTTTTCATGAGAAGAGATTTCTTTTTTTTAATTAGATGCAATGGGAAACTCACAGAATTTACGAGGAATTCAGAAACTCTGTAACTTTGTTTTGGTTGTGTGGTTGTGGTTTGGTTTTTTTTTTTAAATTAAGCAGTTTTCAAGATGAGACTATTAGATTTTGCATGACAATAGGAGCACAATTTTCCATAAGAGTTCCTCAGTATTGAAAAAGCAACCGTTTTAAAAGTAACAATGAAGAAACGAGGAATCACCTTACTGAAACAAACAGCATCTTACCGTTCAAAGCGTTCGGTCGTCAGTTGCCTTTTTAAAACATCACAGTCAGTCTGTAGCTCTGCAGCTTTACTCCGAAGGATGGGCACCTCTCTAGCATAGCCGCTTCTAAAACAAATCACGAGAACCAACAAAGTTTCCTTTGAACACATCAGCTAGGAGCTTAGACAAATTAGAGCAAGATAAACCAAAAATAGCTACTGAACATGTTTTGTGCAGAGCAGATCAAAGAAGTTAGAAGACTGAAGCAGCAAGAACCAAGTGAAGGCAACAGAATGTTTCTGGAAGAAGCTAAGGTGAGAAAGAAGTGAGAAGCTGGCAAGCCTCTCACTACAGCCGTACTACCATACATCATGTTCTTTTTCACACAACGGTAGGTGGAAACAGGTTTCATAAAAACAGACAAAACAATCAAATCACTCATTTATTGATTTACTATCTTTTGTTGCAGTGCGAGATGGTCTTTATGTGTACACTTAAAGAATAAAAAAGCAGTAACTATCCACAAAAACATAGAAACATAACAGATATGGCTTCAGTAAAAACTGTATCACGTTGGCTGGAATTATCTAGCTAGAAATGAACAAAACTGATTCAAACCTAAGTAAAAGCTGTATTAATGCAAGCTCAGACCAGCAAACCCCAGATTATGAAAGCTTATCAACTACACCCTTGGTGTTTGGGTCCAACTGTTTGAACAGCATGAATCAAAATGAAAAGCTTCTCAGAAAATCATCAGCTTGGACGACTCAGTGCTTGGCTGAGAAACACAATTAGCTGCAATATAAAGCAAGCAAAAAAAAAAATAAAAAACCACCACCAAAACCATGTAGTGGTTTTTGGTAGACAACAAAATAAGTTGTCTAAACGAGAATCTAGACAGCTATGATATTCCATAGAGTCTTCAAAGCCAATATGAGATGGAGTGCGTAAAAGTCACTTCTGGAGAAGCAAAGATGTACTCGTTTATTGCTAAAGCTCTGCACTTGAGTTCTGAAAAACGAGTTCCACTCCTAGCTCAGTCACAGGCTTCATTCCTGTCTGGCACCCGCTGGTCTCTGACTCCAGGAAGAGGCAAACTACCCAAGAGCTCCGATCCAAAAAGAACCGCAGAATACTTTTTCCTGTGTTCCCTATTCATCAGTAAAATTCCTAGAGTGGTATCTTGATCCAGTACGTTGAGAACAGGCGCAGAAGACAAGAGGAGCGGCTTTCGGTGATATCTTACTCTAAGTCCTTCAGAGACAGGCATACGCTTTCAGGATGGAGGTAAGAATTCAGGGCCCAATATTAATTGTAAAATAAAGAAAGAAAGCAAACAGTTTTGTGAGTTCTGGGGTTATTCCATGTCAATGACATTTAAACAAAATTAAGATCATGAAGTAAATCACTCACAAGTTAAGAAATATTTTAATTTGGAACCCGTATACACAGTAATGACTATATAATAAGATTACATGATGATCTGTGTTTTCACAAGACATAGCTCTTTCACAGTAGATACAGATAACTCTTAACAAGCAGTTTAGCTATTCAATATTCCCTGTTTATTTCATATTTAAACACTGTAGAGCCTCAAGATCTCATTTACTGTACTATCACCCAAATCGCACTCCGAGTAACACAACTGCTCCCTCTTCACAGAGCTTGAAATTACAGCACTGGAGAACTTCACAAGCTAAACTTAATTTTGGGAATGCTTCTGAAGTCAGAGGTTGTATCCGTACCCTTTTATAAACAGAGTGGAAGCACAGGCACAATACGGCCAAAACTGTAAATAATCAAAAATATTGACATGTATACCCTTTTATAAACAGAGTGGAAGCGCAGGCACAATAGGGTCAAAACTGTAAATCAAAAATATTGACGTGATTTTTGTCAATTAGAACTGCGATTTTGCCAAATCAAATGAAATTGTATTTCACAAGACAATTGTCACATACTTCAGTCACGCCTGTAAGCATTTAGAGTTCCAGTTCTTTAGAATGCAACTACTACAAACCATATAGTAGAAAACAGAATCACAGAACCTCTTATAAGGCGTATACAACCAGTTCTCACAACTGAGCATTTGCCTAGCAACATGCAGAACCTTTGAGATATACAGAGGAAAACAACGAATTCCCACTATTCCTCCAAGAGAACATTTGTCTTCTTCCTGCAATAGCCCATCTGATTAACAACGCAAGTACTGAAAGTTGCAACAAACAAGAAAGGAACCCTACAACGTGTGCGGAAGAAAGACTGCAAAGAAATTACTATGAAGTTATTTAAAGAGAGTTTTATAATATCTGTACACAAGGAAGTTAAATTAAATTTAAGTGAAAACCTCATTCTTTCCTTTTTATTTGTTGTTTTCTTTTCTTTTGTTTGTTTGTGGTTTCTTTGCTATCTTTCACATTTAATTTCATAGTTAGGACATTCCATTAGTTTACGTTCTCTGCATGCAATTAACTTTTTCCCCCAAGGAAACAAAACTCAGTAATTCTAAAACACGAAGCAATGAGTTTGAAATTGAAAGCGGGGAGATTTAGACTGGATAACAGGAAGAAATTCTTCCCGCAGAGGGTGGTGAGGCACTGGGACAGGTTGCCCAGAGAAGCTGTGGATGCCCCATCCCTGGAAGTGTTCAAGGCCAGGCTGGATGAGGCTTGGAGCAACCTGGTCTAGTGGAAGGTGTCCCTGCCCATGGCAGGGGGGTTGGAACTGGATGGTCTTTAAGGTCCCTTCCAACCCAAACCATCCATTGATTCTGAGTTGCACAGGGGTCATTAATAGTGTTGTCAGTTACAAATCCATTGAGATCACTGCTACTTGAGGTGGACTGTCACCAGCATTAAGTTGTAGCCTTTACATAAATCAACCAAAGGCATTTTACTTCCACATTTGCACCACCAAGTTAGATAGCTTTTAATTATTTAGGTATGCTGTGTTCTATACCTCATAGGGAAGCATTATCTGGCCTTTTACTTTCCATGTTTCCTTTCTCCCTCTCCCTCAGTGTTCACTAAGTGGGTGTATCTGTTTTTCTGAAATTCTGCTTTGACATTTCACCACCATCTCCAATTCATCTGCTCCTCCTTCTTGTTATTTACTGCAGATATCACTATAGTCACTGGCTAATGTATCCCCAGAAGAATTACTGCGTCATGATGACACACATCACGGAAATTTCAAATTCCCTGCTATGTATCATGAAGAAAAATTTTTAAATCCCCTATATCTCTCATTCTTTTCCTCATTCTTCCCACTTCTCATTCTTCTTCTCTGAATTTTATATACACAAAATAACACCCCCCTTAACTTTACCGTCCCAAACAGATTAATCTTTCCTCTGTAAGAGCATTAAAAAGTTATTTCTACTCTAGGCAGATGCACAGCCTGAGAAGTTACAGCTGCTATAATGGAAAGTCCTGGCCACTTTTACTGTAGGTGTCAGGTCCAGTTCCGTTTATATTTCTAAGGAACAATAAATGATACAGGACTTTTTCTTCCCTTAACAGTTACTATTAATAGCAGCAAAACTTTTGCTATTTTAAAGCACTATGACTTCATGACTTATTATTTAAGTAATTCCTACCTTAATCAAAGTAAGGACAACAGGCATCTTCAGTAGGTAAGCAATTCACATTTACCCTGGATTTAATCTACCTGGTGTGTTTTTTTTGGTGAGCAGTACATAAATGTTAAAATTTTACTTTCAGTTTGCTTTCAGATGCTTGATGAATCCACACTATTCTAGAGGAGTTCGGACTGCAGAATACTCTCCAACATATGAACACAAAATACAGTTCAAGACTAAGAAAATTTGTGTTCCCTTCATAATTAAACTCTTCAAAGCCAAATAAAAATATGACATTTTGCTTAAAAAGCAGAGTTGACTTAGATTGTTTCCTGAAGCCAAGAAAATCAGAACCTGCGAGAGAGGTGGTTATATATTTTGACAATCAATACCCTCTGACTCAAAGGTTAAATTTACAAATCATACTGCAGTGCATACATACATTTATAGATGTACTCAACAGCTAAAAAAAATTAGGAATTATCATGGGTTGGCTGGTTATGTAGTGGAAATAATGTCCAGTAATGTTTGCAGCAGGTCAGCTGCTTTGCCACTGGGTGGTTAAAGGCTCAGAAGGAAAGGTACTGAAGATGGGAGAGCTATATCAGGCAACTGAACTTCAGGAAAGGTGTCACTTCCTGTGCCTGACTGACATGAGAAAGAGTCATGAGCAGCAGACAAAATGAAGCAGACTCTCTGGAGTCAGAACAGGGACAAACCCAGAAAGAACCCGAGTGCTTATTCTCAAGACTGAAAACTCAGCAGGGTGTTCCTTCCTTTCAGAGCAGGTTTCCTTTGGAGCTCCTGTTTACACTCCCTGCTCGTGCTAAACTGAAGTCCACCAGAGTGCTGATTAATGAAACCAATATGAAAGATCTGTGAAGAAACTTCAGGTAAACAATGCCATGAAAGGCCAAAAGACTGCTGCAAAAACCTGCTCGGCCATACGGAACATCAAAAATTTGACTTTGTGAACAAATACTGCCACACAGAAAAAGTTTCTCTGTAAACCACATACGTACAGTTGTTAAAACTTACAGTTTGCTCTCGGCGAGTGTTAGCTTGTCTTTCAATAACTGAATTTCGGAATCTTTCTCATGAGATGTTAAATGGTTCTGAAATTCTTTGTCTCTACTAGTAGCCAACAATGTTTCAAGATTCTGAACTGTGAGTCTCTCGCTGGATAACTGCTTTTTCAGCAACTCTACTTCTGAATTTATATCTTCTAATTCACCTAGAACCTAGGGCACAAATTTCATCCATTAACACGTTGGTTTACAAAAACACAGAGTTCTCTTTCATGAAGGTTTGGTATAAAAACCGAAATCATCAGAAATTTCATAAAAATGAATAGGAAACTGAGCTCACACAACAACTTGAAGCCTACAATTATTTAAAACTCTACTTAGTTAAAAAAATACATACATCTGTCAAATGTTTAACCAGACCTGGAGTAGTGAGCACTAGAAATGCTTAGGGAAGTACCCAGAAAACTGGCTTTTAACAGCAAGAGGCTTTTGCATAAGTATGAAAATAGCATTTATTATACTTCATTCTATTCAAGAAGCTAATTGTGAGTTGACCGAATTGACTTTTGCTGAAAAGGTAGGACTGCTTGCTATCCTCATCAGTTCTATGAATACAAACAAATGCGGTGGGGATGAGAACCACCGTTCTCAAGGTCTTGAATATTCCAGTACTTTAAGGTGGGCCTACAAGGAAGCTGGGGGGGACTTTTTACAAGGGCCTGTAGCAACAGGACAAGGGGTAACGGGTTTAAATTGAAAGTGGGGAGGTTTAGATTGGATATCAGGAAGAAGTTCTTCATGGAGAGGGTGATGAGGCACTGGAACAGGTTGCCCAGAGAAGCTGTGGATGCCCCAGCCCTGGAAGTGTCCAAGGCCAGGCTGGATGAGGCTTTGAGCAACCCGGTCTAGTGGAAGGGGTCCCTGCCCATGGCAGGGGGGGTGGAACTAGATGAGCTTTAAGGGCCCTTCCAACCCAAACCGTTCTGTGATTCTATGATTACAGTAACAGAAAGTCTGATCCAGTCACTAAGTAGAAGACACAATCAACTATAAAGAAAAAAGTTCAGAAATTTTGGCCATTTAGAATTGTTTAAACTATTTTGAAATGTTTAATGAACTTCAGCTGAATTAAAAGTTCAATTTAATTGGAAAAAATCCATTAGGGAAAAGTCAGTAATATCTAAATAAGAAATTCACTATTCATTTTTATAAAAAAGTCAAAAATTGGAGTAAATTAAAACCAGCACATAAAACCAAAAAAAATGTAATTTATCTCTGCGGTATAGCAAAAACCACTGCTGCCACATGCTGTAGTGATAATGAATGAATTTTTTGTACAAAACCCACCGATATAGACCTGTATAGAGCAAAAGCCATAATCTACATATAAATGCAAAACTAGTGATGTAAATTAACTTAGCTTGCTCACAGTAATTTATGATTCACAATTTTCTCAAAAAAACCCCAAACATTAAAAGCAAAGGAAGATATTTTATTATAAGAAACTGAATTTGCAGTTTCTGCTTACCTTTTCATAATCCATACTTTTGGATGTCAGCTGTCGAGATAAAAGTTCTTTGTTAGCCTCAAGTTTCACACAGAGTTCTCTCACAGAAGCCAGGTCCGCCAACACAGAAGACTTATCCTGATTTTCACGTTTAATATCCTCTTCCAATTTGGACATATTTTGTGTAATGGAGGAGATCCGAGATTCATATGCTTGATGTGCAATTATATGCTAAACAAAGACAAATATGGATACAGTGTTAATTGTTAACAGTTCTCTCTTGGATAGAAGGGTTTTTAAAATACTTCCTTTTCCCTTCAAAATGAACTTTCTCTATGAAGTTAACTATATATTACATTCCTTTCCTCTCCTCTCCCTAAATGACAGCTAAGAACAAACAATAAGCCATCTCTGCAATTTTTAATCACCATCTTGAAGAATTGTACAAGTACTATACAAGAGTGGAATGAGGCTGGATTCTAGCTTGACAAAAGAATTAAAAGCTTAAAACCCCCCAAATAAAAATCCGTTTTTCACTCAGCTTACAATATTCAAGTCTGTAACGCTTTCTGGCTAATGAAAAGCATGAGACAAAATACAGTCAATCCCCAAGTACTATAATCTAAGATTTCCTTGATGTCCATGAAGTTATTGCTTCTGAAATATAAATCTCAATATTTTCTATGTATTATGGGATCCAGATTTGGACTACTACTACCAGATTTTTACCTTTATTTTGGGAAAGCAGGAAAGGGAGAAGGAAAGCATGTCAAACCAAAATGAGTTATTATTTTAAAAACTCAGTGTCCACATTTGAAAAATTCACATATAGGAATTATTTTCCATTAAAGCATTAAAAATAGTACGTTGTCTTTATTTAAAAACAATTGATTGTATCCTACTTCCCTTGACAGAACTTCACTGCACAAGTTATTACCCCTTGAATCTCTTTTTCCAGACGTTCCACTCTCTCCCGAAGATGTCTCCGATCTGTATCTACAGAAAGGAGTTCAAGTCGTATTGAGCTGCTTTCTCCTTCAGCTTGATGAGCCTTCATTTCCCAGTCTTCAGCTTGAGCATGGACCATTCGGAACTTCTCTAACAATTCCTGGTTTTCTTTTTCCTAGATGAAATAGTAAAATGCTCTGCAATGATCAACAGTTGCTTGATCTTATTTTATGTCTACTTGCCACAATATCCTTTTTTTTGTCCCCCCAGAAGCAAGTAGATTTTTCTCCATTTTCTTTATCTCAGTATGTGGCAAATATTAAAGGGCATCATCCCTTTTGCAACTCCAAATAGTAAATACAGTGATGGCAATCATTTTCATTAAATGGAAATATTTACATTTAGCAGTTGTTAATGAGTTTCAAGGCTCCAAGGGGAGGCCTTATTTTGGATCTCTCTGCATTGCCAAGAGTCACATTACTGAGATGTAGTGAACCTAGTGCTGCTCTTCCCAAGAAATTCCAGCAGGGGTCCACTTTCAGCTCTTTCACTCACTGCACTTTTACAAATATTTGTATTACAGCAGTACCTGAAAGACTGATAACTTATTTGGGCATATACACCTAAGCAGTCTATCATAACAGTACAAAACTGCAAGCTTACAAATTATGCAGTCAAAGAATGAATGTTGCTTGTGAATTTTTATTTGGCCCAATGGCAAGTGCATGTTATAAGACAGTGTTTAATTTTTCTTCTTTGTTTAGCTCCATTCCCTTCTTCCCCTGTTCATGTACTGCACAGCAGGATAAACGTTGCTAGTATGAATCAGATTTATCTAATGGGGAAGGCTACTGGTTTTGAAATTCCTCCTGTGTTTCCTGCAGAACTTGGAAGGTGCAGACAGAATGAGGTGGGGCATTAGGAAACAGAAGTTCATGATTAAGCAAGTGAACACTGTGCAGTAAAGTAAATCCTTGTCTCCACAGGCAACATCTAGATGTAATACTAGACAAACCCCTGAAACCAACCTTGTATAATCAGTCACTGACTGTATATTCTACAGCTTCTTGGTACCTGACTTGAGTAAACGGATTCTCATTTGCCAAAGATGCGGTCACATCTGGAGCTGAAGTGCTTTGGACATACAATGTACTATGAAATTCTTAGAAAACCTAAGCTTCAAGTGTTTTAAATAGAGTTCTAAGTTAACATACTACTGATTTTAATTTTTTTCCTTTATGCTTCAGTTTCTACTTGTACAAAGTGGTTGATTTTACATGCATTCATCTAGACATACAAGTCAAAGTCAGCTCAAAACTGAATTTAAGTTTTAATTCACACATATCACACTTCTGAATCCAAGCATCAGGATAAAATGCATTTAAATAGAGCACTGTATCAAGGTATAACCCCAGCCACCAACTAAGCACCACACAGCCACTCACTCACCTCACTCTTCCCCCAGTGGGGTGGGGAAGAGAATCAGGGTAGAGGGCAAGAAACCTCATGGTTTGAGATAAGAACAGTTTAATAATTGAAAATAAATGAAATAAAATAATGATAGCAATAGTACCAAAGATATCAATAATATTAACAGTACCACTAATAATATGTAATGAAAATAATACCACTACTACTACTAATATGTAATGAAAATAATGGAAAACAAATGATACAACACCTCACCACCTGCAAACAGATATGCTCTAAACCAAACGGATTTACTGAAAACAGTAATGACTGCCTACAAATTATATCTTTACCTTTGAAGCCATCAAGGTCTCAAATCTGGAAACTTCACTTATATAGTTATGAACTCTGGTTTTCATTTCTTCTTTTTCACATATTGCATCTTCCAGCTCAGTACTAATAGCCTAAAGAGATTACAAAAAGGCAAAGCAGTGTGTTAGAGTAAATTAATCACTGTATATTACTGTAGCAGACTAAATCAAAGCAATTACATATGCCCTAGATATTATCCTATTCCACATCTAAGTAATGTAGTCAAAGCCCTTTGGGATTTGTAGGGTTCAGAAATATCCCCTATTACTTTAGATACAACAAAGAGTTTTCCAGGCAACAATAATCACAGAAAACAATGAGTAACAGTTCATAAAATCTGCAGCTTCACTGATGACACACCCTACTGATCTTTGGAACATACAGATATGGCAGCTGGGATTCTTCTACCGTTAAGATCCTTGAGCAAGGGAAATCTTGTGTCACTAGAAAGTCAACTGTGTAACATCTATTGTAACGCAGAACTGCAAGATAAAATAACTAAATGCATTATTGAGACCATATTTAGATATCAAAAACACACCATGCAATTTGAGATGCTGGAACTGCTAACTGCCCTCTCAGGTCAGCTCTCACCTTTCTCCAAGTCCTCTAGCCCAGAAAGCCAAAAAGGCAAGTATCATCATCTATCCCCATTATCGAATTTTGGGGAAACAGAGAATATTGCCTTATTTCTTTCCCACACTGAGAAAGCTTTAGTCATCACATTATGATAATATTTAATATTTCATCTTATTAGATTCTTGTGAATGACGTCTCTAATTTCAACAATACAACCAGATATCTACGTATTGCACCATAGGTTTTACAAGAACTATTCAGGGTACCACATCACCCACTCACATCATCTTCCTATATTGTACTTTGTAGTTTCAGACTCTGTCAGGTTGACTGAGGGAAATTGAAATAAATGGTTTAACTGACAAGACCCTGATATTTTTAATGTTACCATTTTTTTACAGGGAATTCAAACAAACATTTGTATCTCAGCATCAAAAGTGTAAATGGCATCTGAGTCAGCAGTAACCAGGTGGTGCCTAAGACCACTCATCATTCCTCAAACTAAGTGAAGGATTAACAAGACTGAATGCACTTCGGGATCTCCAGGCCATGAATCCCAGACCCAGAGAATTCCAAATAAGAAGAGGTGCTACACCTGGGTTGGGGCAACCCTGGTAACAATAGAGGCTGGGGGATGAAGGGATAGAGAGCAGCCCTGAGAAGGACTGGGGGGTACCGGTGGATGAAGAGCTGGGCACGAGCCGGCCGTGTGTGCTGGCAGCCCAGAAAGCCAACCGTATCCTGGGCTGTATCCAGAGCAGAATGGCCAGCAGGCTGAAGGAGGTGATTCTCCCTCTGCACTCTGTACTCAGTACTGCATCCAGCTCTGGAGTCCACAGTACAGAAAGACATGGACTTGTTGGAACGAGTCCAAACGAAGACACAAAAATGATCAGGGGGATGGAACACCTCTCCTATGAAGACAGGCTGAATTGGAGTTGTTCAGCCTGGAGAAAAGAAGGCTCCAGGGAGACCTTATAGCAGCTTTGCAGTACCCCCTTTAAGAAAGCTTATAAGAAAGATAGGGACAAGATCTTGTCCTGTTGTGACAGGACAAGGGGTAATGGTTTTAAACTAAAAGAGGGTAGATCTATGCTAGACAAGAAAGAAATTTTTTACAATGTGGGTGGTGAAACACTGGAACAGGTTGTCCAGAGAGGTTGTAGATGTTCCATCCTTGGAAACATTCGAGCTCAGGATGGAGCTGATCTAGTCCAAGATGTCCCTGCTCATTGCAGCTGTCTTGAACTAGATGACCTTTAAAGGTCTCTTCCAACCCAACTACCATATGATTCTAAGAGATGGAGCAACAATGATTAGAAAGAGTGCAAACGGCTGTATACTATATAAGCCCCTTATGCTACTGAAAGGCCAAACCTTACACACCAGTAGTTGGTTTAGCTTGCGGACCCCTGGAGAACGTCTCAAGATGAAGACGGCACAAGAATAATAATGATGATAATCAAAAGAGTTTAGTTTACTGAATCTCTCAATTATTTGTCTTGCAAAATTTTACTTTAACCTACACTGTCAACGTGAGATAGCTCACCTTTCAATAAAATATTCAACACCCAACAGAGACCGGTAATTCCTCAAGGCATTAAAGATTTTACTTCAACTTTGATCCTGTAACTGAAATAAGTTTAAGCCACACCTTTATAGCATGCACTTCATATTTAGCCACTAGAAGCCGAGAGGGATCGTATACTTCCCAGCTGGAAAATCGATCATGAATACAACACAAACCAACTCTGAGTCCGCTGGGCAATCATAACCCACTTCCCACCTGCTTTTTGGCCTATACATACTGGCTGGCTTTCTGTTAGCAAGGAGGTACCTTATGACTCTTAGCTACTAGAGAGCTAAGGAAATATGAAATCATATAAAAATAATACAAATAGAAATATGTAACATAAAACTCTGCAAGCAGTCAAATAAAGTACCTGAAAGAATCTCCATAAAACCCGCAAAGCCCACACAGAGAGAAAAGCTGTTACATGCAGCTGAACTCTAAGATACCACCTCACCATGACACCTACCTTACCAATGCAAAGACAATCCAATAAGAACATTTTCCAGGGAAATAGATGGCACCTTAGAATTCACCATCTAAAGCCCCAACACAACTTTGACACAACGGAAAGGGAACCCCTCCTATTCCCATCGACTGTGCATCCTTATCCATTCCTGAAATCAGGAAACAAATTCAGACTATTCAGGACTATCATACCTTAAAAATAAGTTTTCTTCAATCTGGCTCATAGCTTTTTAACTCTCATATTTTCTCCCACACACATTAACCCTTCCCTATTCATCAGTGAAAGCAAAGTTCCTGCGGAGCAACACACATGAACATAAACTAACCTTACCATAACTGGAAATAAAAAACCTGCCAATACCTCTTTACAGCTACCAGTACCAAGGCTCACAGAACACAAACATGAACATCTACATTCCAAAACATTCTAGTCTCAAAACGTGGCATACCTCACTCAATACATCTAATGCTTCATGGAAAATGGATAGATGAAACTTATGAATAACTGTGCACCAGAACGAATTCAGATGTGCTAGCAGTCTGCTCCCTCTCTCTCACCTGACTAATAACGTGACATCTGCTTTTGTTGAGGTCGAGGGAGGTGATTCTGC